CGACCAATCAGAGCACACTGGGCCCATAGGGAGGGGGGGCAGGAGCTCCAACAATCCGTTTAGGACAGAGAGTGAATACACATACTATACAGAGATGCTGTTTGAGAAAACCAATTTGAGTTTGGAAAATTGCACAATATACATTTATGTTAGTAATGGCCATGACACGGGACCTTTAAGAAGTAAGCATGCTGTTGTGGTTAGCTCATTTAAAACTGCTTAGCATCATTTAACTCGGGTCTTTCTAAATCTTTTTCTCCCCCTCCTCCCCGTTTTTATGTTGACAGTGATCTGGAACAGCTCCGGAAGATCAGGAGACGCAGCCCCCACGACGACACCGAGGCGTTCACTGTGTTTCTGCGCTCCGACGTGGAGGCCAAGTTAGTTCTATGCACTTCTGAAATATAAAGAATATAAACACCAGATAACTTATACAGTCCACCAATTTTCTCTATAACTTTTGTTGATGTGTTTATTTCTCTCTGTGACTGTTAGAGCTCTGGAGGTGTGGGGAAGCCATGAAGCTCTAGCCCGAGAGAAAAATGTCAGGAAAGAAGTGGAGAGAGAGTACCAAGAGAGTAAGTGTTTGGTCTTTCCTGGCATCATGTTTTTTTGAAAGTGTATTAATGATGTAAGCAAAAGTTCAACCTTTTCTTTCTGGCAAAATGTTTGATGAGAAGAGCGAAACCACTTTAATTTTCTATACAGCAGGTTAGCTTATCTTAGCAAAAAGAATACAAACAAGGGCTAAATAGTTAACTATAAATGTAACTTAATATAATAGCCAACGTTTTTACAAATTACCAAATGTAATATCTGGCTCCAAATCAAAACTCAAGTGAAATAATAATCACACTTCAGTTATTCAGTGTGTTATGTGCTTAATATTTGTATAACCTGATTGTTTCAATACTGTTATTAATATTTTATTCCATGAACTGTTGGACATATTGGTTTATCTGTTTCTCTTCTTCACTGATAAGCAGATATTTTTCGGAATCAGCAGCTGTTGAAGGAATACAAAGACTTTTGGGGTAACACCAAGGTGAGCGCTTTTTTTCCTGCCATTTCTTTTGATAATATGATCACTTCTCACGGTCTCTTTTACATATAAAACGTGATGTGGATATTAGTGGTGTTGTATTTGTGTGACCTTTGTATCTGTAACCAAGGTCAGTGCACCTATATATCAATATAGAATTTGGCAGAGCTGGATTTTCCCAATATGTGTATATAAACTAAGCTAAACATGTAGAAGCTGCATTTAGTTGTTACGCCATCTGGAACAAACTCCCTGAATCCTGCAGGTCAGCTGCAACTGTTAATACTTTTAAATTAAAAACATATCTTTTTGACGCTGCATTTGGATGATTTGTTCAAATTCAAACTGCAGTATGGCTTTTATCCCTGTTTATACCTATTTTATTATCTTTGCTTTTTAAATGCCATTTTATAATGTGCTTCCACTGTATTTATTCTTAAATGTCTTTTATTTTGTAAAGCACTTTGTGTTGCCGTGTGCTGAGAGGTGCTGTATAAGTACACTTGCCTTGCCTTATATTAATGATGGTTGCTATGTCTCTTTGCTTTTGCTTTGTTCGATAAAGCCTCGATCGGGCCCGAGGGCCACTTTCCTCGAAGGACCAGGAAAGGTGGTCATGGTGGCTATTTGCATGTAAGTCTAAATACTCGCCCTTGTTTCTCACTAACTAGGTCACTTTATACACAAAGTGCGGATATTGGATTAGAGAGGAACTGACTATCAGATGGTCACTTTTGGGAAACTGCACAAAATGGTTGACTACATGTGGAAAAAACATACGTTCACTTAGGGCTGTGCAATTAATAGTATTTTAAACTCGATTTTGGCTTGCAACGATTACGAAAACAACGTAATCGAAATAAAAGGATTTATTATTTTTAAAAAAAAATGTAATTATTGTTTTTATTGGTTTTTCAGTTGAATTATACTTAAGGTTCAGGGTAATTAACTGTTATAAACATACTGTTCACATTTTTTTTTTCAATAAATGAATGTTTTCAAAGTAAATGGATAATCGTTTTTCATAATCGTGATATCAATTATTGACCAAAATAATCGTGATTATGATTTTGGCCGTAATCGCACAGCCCTACGTTCACGTTATATCTCTAATGCACATAAATATCCTCTACTGTACAGTTTGTCAAACTCTATAAAGATTTAGAAGAAAGTGAAATCTTGTGTCAGGACCTGCACGGGACCTTGTCTCACATGAGATACCTCGGCCTATTGAATTAGGATGATTGTGTTAGAGGACATGTGCAGTCACATGAACAGCAGCACGTTTCCTTCACTTATGCACAAGGAAGCACGGGACTCAGTGAGTTAAGTGCTGCGTCGAGCAGAGGTCCAGTTTGTGTGTACAGGCTGTCATTCAGGAGCATCCAAACATAAAAATGTAAACTGAAATAGTTTAGTAACGGATGTCTAAGCTAGCCAATACATCTGTAGACACCTTTGATCAGAACTAGTGCTGTGCCAGATGATAAACGTTTCATTGCCCTCTGTGTGCTTCATCTACTCTTTGTCTCTCTCTGCAGCAATGGGTTGAACTTCATCTTCAAGCTCCTGGCTTGGGTCTACACTGGATCAGCCAGCATGTTCTCAGAGGCCATCCACTCTCTGGCCGACACCTGCAACCAGGCTCTGCTCGCCCTGGGGATCAGCCAGTCGGTCCGCAACCCTGATGCCGGGCACCCGTAAGCAGCACACCTTACTATACTGTAAAGAAAAGCCGTTCCCAAGAAAAACTGTCACCAAAGAGTAAAAATATAGGTCTAAGTCTACAGATTAGAAGTGTGCAGAAGAAATCCTTTGCCAACAGCATTTTTGCAGAACGTAGTTGGTGTGTCACCTTGTCAAAATAGTATTGGACTAAATGTTATTGAAGAACCAGTCTTGCTTTTTGTTGACCCTTCGTATTTTCCAGGTATGGCTTCTCCAACATGCGCTACATTGCCTCCCTGATCAGCGGGGTGGGCATCTTTATGATGGGAGCGGGCCTGTCCTGGTACCATGGCATCATGGGCCTGCTGCACCCACAGCCCATGGAGTCTTTGTTATGGGTGAGTGTCTGTTGTTTTGACTCAGTCTGTAAGGACGATTAATAAAAGATGATAATGACCCAAGACGTTGCATTTCTGTGTTACAGGCCTACTGTATTTTGGCCGGCTCTCTGGTGTCTGAAGGAGGTATGTTAATAACCTTCTACGTCTTTGATGACAATTTGACATCAAAAACACTGCATTTTGTACCGAAACATCTCTTTGTATTTTCTCCTTCCAGCCACGTTACTAGTCGCCATCAATGAGATAAAAAGGAGTGCCCGGATACATGGAGTATCTTTTCATGAATATGGTATGTCATACTGAAATATTGATGTTAGTAATTGTTGCATTGGATTCCATTTTCACATTATTGATCAGACAGCATTTCCGTAAGAGAGGATGATTTCCAACTGAAAGCATATGACACAAAAGTGTTCAAATGAAACTCAAGGTTTTGATTTGATCCGGTCAGATGTGAGGTTGAGGCAAATCGTCAAATCAAGTCGATTCAAACTATATAGCCCAATATCACATCAACCCTTTAACAGGCTTTACGATATGAACAGCATACAAGACTAAACGCTGCTTACACCCATGCTTCACAGTGTTTCCCACAGAATTTGATTCTATTTGTGGGGGCACCGCACACCCCCCACCCCACCCCCCGGCAAGAAAAGCCAAAGGCTCCTTAACCAGTGTTCCCGCCAGACCAGGGCTGAGAGGGCGTCCACCCCGAGAGCGGGAGGTGTGACGTCACGTTGTGTCACGTGACTTGAATTTTGAATTGAGCTGTCCCTTTATAGATACTATCTCTTGTCTCTCGTATTAGTGATGGGAATTCCGGCTCTTATTGGTGAGCCGGATCATTTCATTCATCACAAATGAATCGATGTCTGGAAAACACTGCTTCAAATACGGAAACACGTTCCTCATAATGTTTACAGAGGAAAAAGGACAGAAACCCTCAGGGAGAAGGGGAAGTGAGACACAAGACTTCCTCTCCACCATTATGAGAACAGGCTACACAAACAAACAAAAGCAGAAGTGAAGCACTCCACTCACACAGATAGAAGAATGAAACAAACACACCGAGGGAGAAAAAGAAGGTCCCAGGTGTCAACAAGGTCTTTTGTTGTCACTTCCCAGAGACAGAGTCATTCAGGCAGAGTTCCTGAATGAACAATCTGACTCGAATCATATCGGCCATAATGCAACAAACAAAACAAAGAAACCTACTTTTAACATATCATTTCAATCAATGCCAGTCTCTAAATGTACATATCTGGCTGTTCAGGATATGGTTGATGTTTACCGTGTTTTCTTTGTGTGTGCAGTCATGCAGAGCCGAGACCCCAGCACTAACGTGGTGCTGCTGGAGGACGCTGCTGCTGTGTTAGGAGTCATCATGGCCGCCAGCTGCATGGGGCTCACCTCCCTCACGGGTACAGACACAAAGACTTTGATTGTAAAGATATTATCCTAAGTCACGCAATGTAATGAGTTGTTATTTTATTGCTTCTTTTTATACTACTATTACTTTGGGTTTATTTCTCTCATGTTTCCTTACTTTGGTCTCTCCTGCCAATGTGGAGTTCCGATATAGTTCCGAAATGTTCGCGTTTACACCAAAAAGAGCCGGAACTAAAATTAGTTCATCAGAACCTTTTTTACCCCCCCCTGCTAGAGAGCAGAAAAAGGTGCTCGTGGGGGAAAAAGGTTCCTGTGTCTGATTGGCTGGGCGGATTGCAAACCACGCCCCGTAAAACTCCCAAAAAGTTTTGTGAAGCCGCCATTTTATTATCCTGGCATTAGCATTATTAGCATTAGCATTAGCCCAGCGCACAAACGCAGAGAGACTAACTTATGGCAACACAAAAGAAAACATGGGAGCAGTGGAGATGAGGAGGTATCGGCGTTCTGGCGATTTACTCGGAAAGCTTCAGTAGAAGCTGCTAGGAGTCCCAGCAGCTTCTACTGAAGCCAGTCCCCAACTCTGGGGACTTCCGGACGGGGACTTCGGGTGGCAGTATACGCATGAAGTTGTTTGCGGCCTGCCAGTAAACCCAAAGCAGAAGAAGAAGTGACGTCAGTAGCTTCATTTGCCTAATCCACCCCCAGGGACTTATTCCGGTTTGAACGCGATCTGTACTTATTAGTTCATCAGAACTAAAGACTTCTCATGAACCTTTGTGGGAAAAGTACTTGGTGTGAATGCGCCTAATGATCCAGATTTATTTCACTCTTTACTATCTGTATCCTTTCCCCTGTCCTCTGCAGGTAACCCTTACTACGACAGCTTGGGGTCTCTGGGGGTGGGAACCCTGCTTGGCGGGGTCTCAGCCTTCCTCATCTACACGAACACAGAGGCTCTGCTGGGCCGCTCCATCCAGCCCGACCGCGTGCAGAAGCTCACAGAGTTCCTGGAGAACGACCCTGCAGTGAGGTCAGTGAGTGGACCGGCACTCTGCGGGGCTCACGCTGATGTCCATGGACACAGTCGGGCTTAAAATAGATTTACTGGTGTTCACATGCAACCGTCTTTAGGGCCAGCTGAGCAGGGAAAAGGGATTCTGGTTAATACCCCTGTCCCAGCATGCACAGTCTTCACTTTGAGAAATGAAACAGTGTGGTCTTAAGTCTGTAGGAGAGGATTTTCTAATCCACTAAAAGTATTCAGTGACAGTTTGACCATGTTAAAGAATGATAGTTGACCTACCCACATCACCTGAATGATTCCTAAATGATTATTTTCTTACGAACAGGGCGATCCACGATGTGAAGGCCACTGATCTGGGGCTGAGCAAAGTCCGCTTCAAGGCTGAAGTTGACTTTGATGGTCGAGTGGTGACACGTTCTTATCTGGAAAAACAAGACATTGACCTGATCCTCAATGTAAGTTTATTATTTATATTTGTATACCTCCTTCCTTTGAAATACATATGTTGTATAAAACAGCTTTCCTTTCTTTAACTTTTTTAACTTCCAAGGTTGACTTCTACCTTTTTATTACTTTTTATTGCGTACTATTAATCGTAGGCAATAAACACGTCTTTGATGCCAACATAAAATTAGTCGCTACAGAGTGAACAAAATGTTTTTGCTTTCCTACCGACATTTGTATGTAGGGCTGCAACAAACGACTAATTTGGTAATCGATTAATCTATCGATTAATGAAACGATTAATCGGCTATTCTGACTGTTACTACATGCCTTGCACAATTTCATAAACGCTCTGATTTAGCCATCAACTTTTAGATTTAGCTTGAGGTTGTTTTAGGCATGTGGAAACTAACAATGAAGACAATAAAGATGAATACTTGATTCAAAAATACATATATTATTAAATTAACACATTTTGAACAAAATGAACATTGCTTTTTATTTAAATTAAATAAATAATATTTCACATCAAAAGAAACAACAATGTTTTAAGAAATCTTATTAAATAATGTGATGACAGAACTGTAAACAGAATAGCTGAAACTTTAACAAAATAAAGAGTAACTCAGTTTCCTCTAATGATTAACCCATGTTTGTATAATGTAGTTAACTCCGTGTGTTGCTGCTAGCATACATAACACCTGCCCCGTCGCACACAGATGGGGAGAGAGATCTCGTCTGATCGAAAACACATCATAGATGTATTTGATTGTCTTTTTGCATGTTAGAAACAAGTTGGCGACACTAAGACTGCGATATAATGTTTTTGTACTAATAATACATGTCATATATTTTTTAAATGTCTCCAGTACCGATAAAAAGACCAATAACGTTGGAGCTTAACGGCGCGTAAAACACACGTGATGACGTCACCAACGAATCGACGACTGAATTAGTTGGCAACTAATTTGGTAATCGATTAAGTCGATTAGTTGTTGCACCCCTATTTGTATTTACCTCCTTCGAGTGTTTTCCCAAAACAGCCCTCACAATGCAGCTCAGACGGTGACTTTGAACAAGTGTGTGCCCACAAACTGAATGGGGAAATCCTAAATGACCCTCTTCGGTCTGGTTGAAGCAGTTCTAACAGAACATTTTATTTTTTTGGAAAAGGAATCTTGTCAAACCTGAACTTGACTCATGAAATAATTTGCCAGGTTTAATTATTCATCTTTAAAGCTTACATTTTTCTCGATTTTGTTTCTGTCTGCAGGAAATTCAGCTGGTGAAGACCCCCGAGGAGCTGGAGAGCTTCATGCTGAAACACGGGGAGAACATCATCGACACTCTGGGAGCCGAGGTGGACCGCTTGGAGAAAGAACTCAAGGTACTGAAATGATAACAATGTTGTCAAAAAAAAGTCCTATTTTTAGCATTTCAGCATGGTATTCCTTTTACTCATCATTGAAATGTATCTGCACAGCAAACACATGTTTATGTAACCTGTTTTTGTTCCTCTGCAGCAACGTAACCCGGAGGTTCGTCATGTAGATTTGGAGATTCTATAATACCTGTTGGGTGTCTGCTGAGGAACATCATGCTGTAACAAGAAGAGCAGAGGGTGAAGGAGGGTCCCGCTATCTGCCTCCAATCCTGACCACCAAGAACAAACCTCCGTGACTGCACAACTCATCAAGTCTTACTGTAGAACAGACCATAACCATAACCATACCCGAGGACAGTGATTGGGGCATTTTTTTGCTTTCTTTGTGATGCTTGAACTTCGATTAGCCGAGAATTCATCCTGCCAGAGATGCACCTTCACATTCGAGTGTGAGTGTTTCTGGCTGAGGACTAAGAACTGTTATTGTTCTCCTTGAATTTAAAGAGAAATGTAAATCTCTGTTGTAGTTCACGTCCATCTCTGACAGATTAGTCTTCTGGTGGTTTGATTTAACTCACATTCCTGTGTGAATGTGTTTGGATTTGGTTGAAAACACACTCAAAAAAAAAAAATATAGAGAAAAATCAAGGAACAGGACCAGTATGATTTACTAGACTTGAACTTCATTATATTGTGATGCTTGAACCAGTAATGATAACGATACATGACGTTTATAAAGCGCTTTTCCTAGCGCTTAGTGATGTTTCCTTCATTAGAACAAGAGGAAACCTGAGAGATACATATTCAAACGATTTATTTAACTGCTAGACAATATTAGATGTTTTTTTTTCTTTTAATGTGAAAAAAGGACAGAACTGAAAACAGCACAATGCTGCTGCTGGTTCTCCAATGAAGAGAGTTTGCGATGAATAGATTTCATCTATGCTATTACAGTGAGGAAAATACAAATAAAAAGGCATGATTAAGACTTTTTATTTGATTATAAGCTAGAGTGAGTTAAGATTAAATACAGTAGTACTTATTCAGCATTAGCTTAAGCAAACAAATATAAAAAACTTCAACTCAATATATTCCTGCGATACTATGAAGACAATTTGAGAATCTAACTAACAAATACATTAATAATACATTTATTGGACATCTTGATCTTTATATAAGGTCAAATTGAATGTGTGATCATAGTTCCAAGCCTAGAAATGAAATTACAGGCAGTGGCATCTCTTTCACTTCATTACTCTCTCTGCCAGCTCTTTAGCGTTGATGTTCTCATGAGGTCAGCAGCTGATCGCCAGGTGGCTGTTAGTGCTGATCCAAAGATGAAGTGATGGAGGGATGCACAAGTGTAAATAAGATATCCATATTGAAAAATGATTGGACCAGCCCCGTCTCAAACATGTTTTTAATTATTCATAATGACACCCCGGTACAGTTTGTATTAAACGATCAAGTGAACTATCTCCTCCTTGGTGTTACTGCTGAATATAGTGTGTGCAACATACAGTGACTTTGCTTTTGGCTTTTCATTCTGCATTTACTTCAGCCGGTCGCCTTCCTGCTTCAACATGTTACTTTCTTTCAGGAGGTCGGGCCTGGAGAGCTCTGCTGGGAGGGTGGATATATATTTTTGAAGGTGTTAATAGTGTAATAATATTTTCCCGTCGGTTGTAACATGTTGCTGAAGGAGTTGGAATACATTTGTAATAATTTATTAAATTATTTTGCTTTCCTTTTGTGTCAAGTGGTCATATTTCATTTACTGCTTCATGTGTGTGTAGTGTGAGATTTAGGACACAACATCAAGATGTTGGAGGTCTTGTAGGAGACCATACCCAGATTTGATCCCCAATAAATGCTCTTTGGATGCATTGAGAATCTTCTGGACCAGCAAAAAGGTACATTGTGTTGTATTTTGCTTTTTTGATTGGATTATATTTCCTGTTTAAAGCTCAGATGGTTGACTGGAATGTAAACCCAAGTCCATTAGATGCTGCAGTTGTAGGGAGGAGAGAGAGGGGGGGCTCTAGCCTGTACGCTGACGTCAATAAAAACAGTCATTTCCAACCAGTCTGCGCATTGACCGACCGTTCAAAACATTACGCACAGCATCGCGGCTGGACCCACGCTATAGACTACTCGACTGAATTATTTTTTTCACCGATCCCGGAGAGAGGAGACAATGCGGACAAACACCAATGCAGGTTTTTAGACCATTGAATGTTGTCTTAACATGTTGGGTGTTGCGCGCATATCAGTATCATGTCTCGTCATACCATTCCCAAGTCAGTTATGCCAGTGCCCATCTCGTTTCCTCTCATGTCTCCCCACCTCAGATAAAGAAAGCATCGCTTGTGCACGTTGATTTAAATAAAAAAGCAGGCTGATTAGGCTCATTAATATAAAGGAAACATACGCCTGGAGATCACCAAGCACATCCTCAATCCTTCTGCGCATCACATTGTCACTGTTAGTCATTGCTTTATATTGTTGGTAATTTTAAGAAAATGTAGCTGTTTTTATAATAATCCTCGATGCATCCTGTTTTTGTTTTTTTCCTCCCTGTTGTGTTCGTCTCCAGCAGCCCACAGAAGGGGGCGCAGTAAACCCGCACAGTTGGGGTCTCATATGTGCATGCAACCTCCCCTCCATCACCACAAGCCTGCGGTTACAAAATCCCAAACCCCATTACTCTTCGGTGCGGAATTGAATTAAAGAAACGAGATGTTGTGCAGCAGTGTCCATCTCCCATTGAGAAAAAAACATCATCACGCTTTTTTTACGCACCGTTTCTGTTTCCTTTTTTTATTTTTTTACTTGAATAATCGGTTTTGTTGCTGTTTCATTCACAGGTGCAGGAGCATCCAGAGCGACCAGTGTGAGATGGCAGGGGGAAAGGTCTTCATTGCGGCGGATGATCATCGTTTTCACCACACTGCTCTACGCTTTTAGCCTCTTTACAGTGCTGCCTTGTCTAATCATGTTCAAGCAGCATTGTACAGGGCTATGACAGCATAGAGAGCTGAGCTGCGTTTCTCTGACCCTTTGGATGGCAGCCACCAAATGACATCATCCGTTAAAAACACTAAACGGCGAGGATTGCATGTGAGAAATTTTGACCAAAGAGTCACTTGTTTTACAATTTTCATGCTAATGTCGTGTAAAAATGAAATGCATTGCTTTGTTTACGGTTGGAGAAAACTGAAGCACATTGAGTTCTCCTTGGGTTGAATTATTCAATGCAAACCGAAATCCCTTTGCAGCCAATTCATTATTGAACCAATCAGTCACATTGCATTGTGCTGCTCCTGGATTAAAACGTTTTTGCCTCTAGTTTTACCATTGCATTGGAGACAAAGCTAAGCATCCCCCTTTTCCTTTTTTGATTTTGGAAATTCGAAATGTATTTCAAAACACTGCTGTCAATGAAGGTCTTCCCACAATTGCTTGGTTCTTTTCTCACCATCTATGAAACAAATATTCTGTTTGCTGAAACAAACAAAGACTTTAGACTCTCGGGGCATATTTTTTTTAGACTATAGGACCGAAACTGATTAATTGATTGATGCATTGTTTGGTGTATTACAAATTCATGAAGCCAGATTTTTGACATTTTCAAAGGTCTTGTTTTTGCACAACCAACAGATGGAGATATTCAGTTCAGTTGCCTAGAAGAGACTTCAAAAACAGACAAAGGAAATCAGCAAATCCTAATTCTTTAAAGGCTGTCCAGGCATTTCTGCTTAAATATTACAATAAACAACTTATCAATTATCAGTAAGTATTTGCTGATCTACATTGTTATCTGAATGTCTAATCGACTGAGCTCTAATGAAATATATAATGTACAATTAAAAAGACTGAAATATGTTGGATTCTCTTGATTTATTTGAATTCCACTGTGTATATCTTGCTATAAACGACTAGTTTCCTATTTATTTGATACACCAATGATTATATTAGATTTTTTTAAGTTTAATTTACAGATTGAACAACGGTTGGTGCTCCACTTTGAGTAAGGGTTCAGTTTCATGCCCTCTACTGGCTGCAAGTTGAGCCTTTTTACTTTCCCTCTCTGTACTGTGTCTCCTCTATCCTCAGCTCTGTCTGATGTGGGATCAGTAATGTGAGCATTGTTAAAGAAGGAGCCTCCTCACTAATTCAATAAGAAGCTTACCGAAGGTGAAACTAGTTCATGGCTCCTTGGTGGACAGACATACAGACTCCTAAGGGCACATTTCAAGGACAAGGAAGACAATTCAAAAAAATAGCTTGATGTGAATTTTAGAAATGTGCCACACCAGATCCATGATTTCACAGATTTTATTACAAATAATTTTTTCTTTACAATCAATGGCCATGGAGGAAGGGTCCTGATGTGTTTCATTTCACTGCCTGTGTTTTACAGTCCAGTGAAATTCCCAGAGAGAGGGGTCAGGATTTTGGTTCAGGCACTTAACATCCTCAGTGGCTGCAGCTCTCGCAGGGCTGCAGGCCGTTCTCGTTGCAGGAAGTGCACTTGAGGGCTTTGAAGGAATCCGTGAAGCAGTTGCGAAACACGGACATCTTACTGCCATGGCACATTGGGCACGGGATGAAGGCGAAGCCCCCGCAGGTCTGGCACGTCTGGGGCTGCTGAACTCTCTAGAAAAACATAGAATACATTTAGTACAAATAACAATTTCAAACCTTTAAAGGGATACTCTAAAATACTCTATTTATAATACTCACAAAGAATAGAAATTAGGAAACAGCTGGTCTGGCTCTATGCAGAGTTAAACAAATCAGATAAAATCTCTAAAGCTAATGCATAAAGAAGTTATATGTTATATGTTTAAATGACAAGTTGTGGTTTAACTGGATGTAATGTGCCAGACTATCTCTTGCAGCGCACGCACTCCAGAAAGTCACTACCCCGAACCAAGAAATAGTCTTGTACATGTCCTGTAATAACCTTATCTTTATTTAGACCATAACTAGGAGTGACCAATTCAGAATAACTGTTCCTGTCATCCTCAGTAATTCTGAGTAGAAGATATCTCCAAAATGGTGAAAAGAAGAACAGCAGTGTCAAAAACCGTCTGTAAATGGCTGCACAGTTGTTGTTGTTGTTGTTGTTGTTGTTGTTGTTGTTGCTGCTGCCAGTTACATCTTTTTAACAAATACAGACAATTCTGCTTCAAAATGAGCTTCGTATGAGCCATATTAACCTTCTCCTCTAATTCTCAACAGGATGGTGTATTTACCCAAAAGGTGTAGCTACTCTTTTAAACACAACTTCATTTTCAAAATGCTAAGATGTTGTTATCACCCCAGGAGTATAACAGATACTGGCACAAAATAAAGCCATGTTGCAGGGCAGTTCTGGACTGATTAGTTCATGCATGACCTTTCCCAGCTCGTTTTTTAAATTGCCTGCAGTGACTGAGATGCATGACTGAAATGTCATAACACTGCTTCGTATTCACTTATGAAGACTTTCATTGGGTCCAAATTAGAAACAAGGCCTGAGAGAAGGCCAGTGTTTGTGAGACAGAAGTTGCTCCAGCTGAGGGAGACGCAGAAATAGTTTACACATCGTTTTGTACCACCGAGCGATGTGTTGTGTTTGAGCAAATGTGTTGAGACTAAATCAATAACACACCCTCCATTATTGATGGTCATTTATTGATGGGCATGCATCTTTTACATTGCTGTTTGTTCATGTTTTATTTACAGCACAGCTAGTGATAGGGAAGTGACTGCTGCCGTTTGCATTGTGTTCATTTCAGTAACTATTGGCAAACACAAAGCATCATTTATTATGACTATAATTACCTTATGTTTTAATGACGTGCTATACATGACACAAATAATGAATCAAGCAGTGTGAGTCAAATCCCTCTGTGACTCAACTCGATTCACAAGAATATAATCTATTTTAAATACAATTAATTATTCATAATGTCATTTATTACAATGCAAACACTGTAATAACCAACCTCAATTTTTGTCAGAAGATCCTGAAGCTCTCCTGATTCGTTCATGCCTAGTATTTTTTCAGCACCCTGAGAAGCACAATTTCATATTTAATCAACTCACTGTGTGGATGTGAAAGATATTGACGTCAGAT